CGGGGAGAAGGCGAAGGCAGTTCGCTGCTCGCCTGATCCCCTAGTGATCCCTCCGTTGGCGCGGGAGCCCTGGCGCAAGCTAGGGCGGCCGGGCGGCGTCGTGGTGAATGTTCACCAATCCCACGGCGCCGACTCAACCGGCGAGAGGGAAACCAAGGGGGGTTTTAGTGGGGTAGTCCCTCGAGTCTGGAGGGAGAGTCCCCACATAATCCCTGAGTCTCCCTGGGCTCAGAGGTATCCATAAAGATTTCCCCCCGTCAAAAAAAAAAAAAGGCTCCCACTTCACGTGGTCACTCTTCACGTGGCGATCGATAGGACAAGATAAGATATCTACGATGATATTATGATATTTTTGTTACTACTTCGGTTATTTTTATTTTCTTATTTTCGGTTATTTTTATTTTTTAACTAAAAATTATTAGGTTGATTTCGTAACTCTATTCACGCAAAAGTAAACGTAGAAGTATAGATTTAGAGAAAGCTAAAGTCCCTTTGTTTATAATAACGCACTTATTAATATTATCCTGGCAAATGGCACTGCGGCAAGCCAACAAGCAGTATCGACGTCAGAAAAAATTAAACAAACATGTCCGTCTGTCAGGTGCATGTTTAATGGCCGCTGGTGTCTTAAATTCTCTGACTTGTCTGTCTATGTTCTGGTGATGCTAAGTTTGTTAGGCGTAGACCGGTTAGGATGCGTGCGGTGTGATAAATTTGTTACATTTGTGTGTAATCGCACCGTTAACCTAGCGATTAAGTGCGGTACGGTCGTGGGTAGATAGGCTGAGCATGGAGACTGTGCGGCGAGGAGCCCAGTAGGGGGTGCAGGCGCCCGGATCGTGGGCCGTTCTAGCGGCTATGGGCGCGCAGCAGGCGAAGGAGCGCGGGGCGCCAAGTGGTGCGTCTGTACGCGCAGCTCGCGGCAAGCCACGGGTGCCTAAAGACCCTCGCGCGCTCGGCTCCAACATCTTCACTGAACATAGCGGTTAGTATCTGACAGCCAGCTCCCCGTCATCACCAGGCGCATGTAGCTACTTACATATTATGCAACTTTTAGTCGCGAGGAAGTCGCCGATACTGAAGGCTTGAACAAAGAAGCTCGCAACGTAATAATGCTTTGAGTGCCCATTGTTTCTGTATTGTTTTCACTCGATAACCATAGCAGGCCTGTTATTATAATTATGTATCCATATACATTCTGCATAGATCAATATATTTTCAATTAGCACCTGCAGTTTGCAAGTGCAGGATAGGGTTAAGCCTACTTAGAATAGGGTACTCCAATAATAGATGAATCCGGAAAGGGGTGGCAAAGAGTGCATGGTTTTAGCTTGCACACCTCTATATAAATTTGTCTTATTTGATACACCTTACTTTATTTCCCTAAATTACCTTACTTCTACGTACAGAAATATTTGTTAATGCGAATGCTGACTATTAAGGTAATGTGTACATGTATTACATCTTTGTAAACCATATTCAAGTGATTAAATTCCAATAGCTGCAGCTTAGACCACATCTATGAGTATCCTGAATTATTCAACAACAGTGACAAATAGATTTGACATGTAGACATAATTTTTGCTGTGCGAGTTTCCTACTGTAGTAACAGCTGTGTAGCACTTGCGAAAATAGCTCTTATGTGAATGTATTTTTTATATTTTTATATTAAATTTTTTGCATTATCGTTCCATACATAAAACAATCAACAAATACCATCATCAGTTGACGACGGTGACTCGTAAGTCTTGTACCATAGTTATGGTACAAGACTTACGAGATAGATTTGCTGGAGTACTATATTTACCTTTAACAACACACATTATGTGAATATTTACAAGTGCTTACTCAACTTGTGCAAGGAAATGTGCAGTGAAGCTGGAACTCAGAAGGTCTTTATTCCACTACAAGTTAACTAGTGTGACAGATATTTTGAGTATAAATGTCATTATCATTTCATAGATGATACTGAAAGGACCCACTTTGAGCAAGTGACGAAACCTTGAAAAGTATTTTGTTAATAGCAACATCCTTATTTCCTTCTCCATTTGTAATTAGTCTTTTTCACTAGATAGATCCCATATATGGGGATTGTGTGTCAATTACCATACATGTGATTGACACAGTCATGTATAAGAATTCATCAGTAACATATAACAAGAAAAATTGAAAACATAATGTACTTATCAACTTGCCTTATCACCAACTGCGACTTCTGCCAGGTATCAAAATAGCGGCTGCCACTGCTCATAGCGTGTAAATGTCTTTTTTTTAAATCTAGATTTAAGAGTCCTGACACATTTGGGCGTTTATGTTGGCCTCAATGTATGTATACATATAAATAACTATCCTGCTTTATCTGTCACTATTCCCATGAGAGGTATTGCTCCTCATCACAAAGCAAAACCTCACATAGGAGTATAGAGCTTCAGCACTCTGTGTCAATGGGTTGCTCAGTATTGAATTTAGTTCTCCTACCTGATCAACATCCTTTAATTGATATTGGGCCAGTCATCCCATGTGTCAATCACATTCTATTAAATTAAATGTCTTCCAACTTGTTACAGAAATGGTATTGAGGGGATTCTGCTTTTCTCATGAGATAGTAAAATTTATTTAATGGAATGTGACCAGAGTGCAGTACAAAAATTGGATAGTTTTTGTACCATATACCCCTTGTCACAGATCATAGCTCATAGCCCATTGATCCATATTTAAAACTTGAAAGTTTTGGTAAATTTATTATTATGTTTTGTAAAAATTCTATGAACAAAAGTTGTTGTTTATGATGTTTGTAATATAGTCCTGTGTTGTTGTTAGTATTTTACAAATAACACTGTATATATGTACAATGATATTGGATAATTAAATATATCACCAACTATTTATCATAATAAAAAAAAACTTCAAACTATCAAAGATGAAAGCACTTCATAAGAGAGAATAGTACTATAGTCTCAATTGATCTGTCCCTTGAATGAAGTGTAGGATGAAGCATCATACTTAGTGAAAATGAATTTAATAATGAAATGGTTTATAAATTAATTATAACACCTTTGTATTATTTTGTTATTTGAAATTTTTTCAACCATTTATTTAATGTGCATTCTGTGCAATAGTGTGGCACAACCACCTAGTAAGATATTATGCAATCTGTAGCTTGTCACTGTATAATGAAGTACAAGAAATAACAAAGAAACTGAAAGATAAGTACTTCCAATTAATCAGAAACAGTAAGGAAGCATCTTTACACAAGAGACAGTATTTATGAGGACTATGGATAGGTAATGGTATTTGGTATCTTGCAGAGGCCCTGCTACAGAGCCGGCCCCTGCCACACATCCCGGATCTACCGGATGGCGGTGGCAGCAGCAGCGGCGACGGCACCGCACACTTACACGGTGTACCACCTGCTCCACAACCTATAGATTCTGCTAACAGGCAAGTATTCTATTGTCGGCATTAACGTTTTCAGAATCAAAAACCCACTTCGCAAGTCTAAGTGCAAGACAACTACTCGCGTCAAAGTCTTGTACATACGTACTTTGCTGGATTTAAATGTAACATTCATGCATTTAATGAAGTGCAGAGATCTATTTTCATGAAAAGCTTTGAAAATACTTGGCAATCAATTGTTATTTGGTAGCCTACCTCAATGTTTATTACACTCATCAAAAGCGTGTAGGGAGCAAAAGAGCAAAAAAAAAAGTGTTTTTTAAAATATTTGATTATCCTATTAAAATTAAAATATCTATATAAGTTTGTTAAATTATTAAACATGCTCGAGCCCTATGCACTTTTGATGTGTGTATTTTCAAAATGGTCTGTTTAAAAAATATAACTCTATACCTATAAATAGAACTTGATGTTTCAAATTATTTATAGATACATCTTCTAAGTTCATCATATGCAAATCATGAGGTCGAACAACAAAGATTAGATACATTTTTGTATAGTTGAAGTGTGCGTATGCTAATATGGTGTGTTATTGGGCTTTACAGGTGGACCTCAAAAGAAAATTTGCTTGCACACGCTGAGGAAGATGATCCTCAACTATTCGTTGCGTTGTACGATTTCGCAGCCGGCGGCGACAACCAGCTGAGCCTCAAGAAAGGTGGGTTTCAACTTTATACAGATAATTAATTTCCATATATTATTAATTGTACTATTACAGTACTGTTAGTTGCTGTTCCTATTTGCCGACTTGAGAGATAGGGAGTTCCGGCAGGACCAGGGTACTGCAGGCGTCCAGACCAATCCCTTCGCCAGTGATACCTTCACGGACGTCTCTGGTGGACCTCGACTTGGGCATGGACTCGCCGGGTGGGCATTAAGTCGGAAACTATGTCCGGACATTGTAACAGGACACTGCGACCGGCATCTCTGGCACTAGCCCGGAGAGCTAGCACAAATTATAGTACCCTTCCCGTATTACCAAGAAGATGATAGGGAGGGTCACATAAACATAACCTATGTAGAAAGATATGGGACTGTACCTTTAATTACGCAATGCGCAAGGGGAAGTGAGCCAGCCAGCAGTTCCGGGACCTATCTGGACAACAGGGAAGGCACTGTATGTGCATGCTGGGCAGCTCACCCAATGCACTAACCTTTTGACAACCAGATGAAGTTTGTGCAAAAGGGCTAATCAGTCAAGTCTAGAACCCAGTCAGGACTTGACTAATAAGGACCTTGTGAAGGCTCAGATTATAGTGCCCTTCCCATATAACGAAGAGGTTGATGGGGAAGGTCACTAAAACAAGACTTATATAGGAAGATATGGGACTGTACCTGATAGAGACGATATGGAAAGCACCCAGTTTGAGCGGATGACCAAACTTGAAAAATTTTGTTAGTGGCAACATCCTTATTTGGTGCTCTTCTATGTAATCAGTCTTTTTCACTAGTAGTAAGATAGATTCTACCATACTAGCTATTGATGATGGACTCATGCATCTGCCCCGGTAACGTGACTGGGGCGTCTGTCCAGCGCGCAGCTAGCGCATCTTAGTGGCGATCTAGACTAAGTCCAAATGTGAAAGGATGCGCGGAGCACGCGAGTTGCCCTTTCTGTTGGAAGCTATGGTCGGTACTAGCTGGTCCAGCTAAGCCACTGGGCACTGTCCAGTGCGACTGCTATCTCAGTTGTAGTCTAAAAGGGATAAAGCTGGATATCCTCCGATCCCTTCAGCCGCATAGGAATTATGGAATGGAGAGATGCTACGGCGTCGGGACGTGAGCGTGCCGCCAGCTCCACTATCAAAGTGGAAATTTGGTAGCTGACTTTAGAGTCAACGGCGTAGCAGTGGCAACCGGTTGTTGCACAATAGACAACGGGAGGTGAGCGAGCCAACAGCTCCGGACAATAGGGAGGGTGCCTTTTAAGAACTAGATGAAGTTTGTGTCGAATGAAACGGGCTGATCGGGGTCGGGACTTGAATTTTAAGGTTCCTTTGCAGGCTTATTTGCATAGGTGCCGTATAGTTAATAGATAGTGCCCATCTGTATAACCGAGAGGACGATTAGGAGGGGCACTATAAACAAAACTTAAGTAGCAAGATAAAGGAATGTATGTGATAGAGGCTCTTTCTGAAAGTAATCACAATTGCAAGCAAGGATGACCGCCATGTATGGGATATATCTCTTTATATTTTATTTATGGGGCTCATAAGCGTTTCAAAGGATTTAGCTTAGTTATCCTGAGTAATTGATAATAATAGTAAGTTATTTTCCAGTAAAGAATTAACTGGCTCAGTTATGTATAGCAAGTAGTTTTTGTTTTGCTTTAGTCACTCCTTCATTATTCATTTACCGTTATGTGTAATCGCAAATTAGAGCCTAAATTATATTTGTTTCCATGTGGCATTATCTTATCATTTCATAAGTCTTGTGCAGTTTGTATCTTCACACGTTTGTATAAGATATGATACTATTATTGGTAGTTCGTATTATATTATATTATTATTTAACACCTTGCAATATTTTGCATAATTATGTATAAAGACATCACTAATCATTTTCATTTTAATTCTATTAACATACTAGCTGTGCCTGCGATTTTGTTTTCTTTTTATTATGTCAGCATATGCGGCATCATATGCGGACATTTGACCTCCATTATATTTTATGTGAAATATATATGTGAAACTATTGATTGCAAGAACCATAGAGCCAAAACAGATGAAATTACTAAGTAAAGGTAGGTCAAATTAAAACAGGCTGACATTTACAAAAATGGCGCTAGCGATAGATAAGACTGCGTTCGTCAAAAAGATTTAATTTATAATAAAAATTTTGTATAAAATAAATTATACTGGCTAGACGTTTTTTTCCTAGAAGTGAACTTTAAAACCTCGGTAAAGACAATAAATAACAGTACTATATAGTTTGTTCGCGGTCTACAGGTTAGACCACGATTAGACAGTAATTACATCGGCGTTATTTTTTTTGTGAATTTATTTATATAATTTTTCATTATTGAAAATTTATCTTCTTTATGTTAATGATAATATTATATGTAAATTAATCAGAGAAGGCTCAGTGTACCGATTTGCTGACGACACCTGCATCGTGTCGGCTAACTCAGATCTGAATGCGGCTGAACGCCAAGCTCTGTACGTTTTCAATTTATTGTGTAAATGGGCAAACGATGTTGGACTTGTTAATGCACGAAAAACTAAGGCACTCATATACACTTCCCACAATAACATCTCGTACCTACCATCTATCGTCGCCAAATCTTTCTATACTGCGTCCCAAACTACCATATAGCACTTTAAGAACATTATATTTGTCATTAGCGTATAGCATAATTGGTTATGGTATGAGTAGTTATGGGAGAACATTTAAAACGCATATACAAATTATTTACAAATTACAACTAAAATAGCTACATGTAATTGTTCCAAGAAATATTCAAAACAAATTTGTAGATAATGAAATTCAACTATTTCAATACTGTAATACATATATTAACTGTATGGAACAAACTAAACACTGCCCTATTAAAAGATGAATATCATAACTTGAAAATAACATGAACTCATTATCTGGGCGCACTGTGTAGAACTAAATCGTGCATTTCTTATCCAGAAAAAGTGTGTCAGAGCTATATGTAGAGTAGGCCTGCTTGAGTCTTGTAGACCGCTTTTTAAAAAGCTAAGAGTTCTAACGCTTCCAGCTATGCACGTATTTGAAGTATGGATGTTTGTTAGAAAAAACTTGGCTCTATTTACTAGGAAACGTGAAGTATGTACATTTTTAACTAGACGTCCCAACCACGTTGCTGAACCCTCCCATAACACTAGTTGCTTTTCTAGGAATTCCTATAATATTTCCATAAAGATATATAATGTTTTGCCTGTAGCGATCGCAGACTTACCCTTAAACATATTTAAAAAGAAATAATTTGACTTGTTATGTGATCTGTGTATATATGATATCAAAGATTATTTAAAATGAAAAGAAATTGACACAACCTCGTTTATAAGAATAACTGCTTCAATGTATTTATAAGATTTTTTAAATAATTTATCTAATGTAATTAAATCACTGCAAGGACTTACTTTTAAATCACAATTGAATAAATGGCTTTTGACACTTATTTATTAATTCGAAATGCCAATTGATTTGTAATTGTAGAGACAAATGTGAAATACCATTAACATTTGCACACTCAAGATCTGTATAAATACTGTATTCTGGCAAATGAACGTATTCAAACTTCACAAAGATTACCATCGTCACACTACAAAAAAAATTCATTGTGGAACAAGAAATTAGAAATATTTGTTACCTGCATTAATGAACAACATTAGTGAGGAACTTATATGTAATTATCAAAACAAAAAACACTATAAATCACATACATCATCAATCACAATATGTTAGGAAACATTTATTGAAAACTGAAGGTATAAAGTTGATTTTGTAAATTGCTTAATTGCTATTATATGCGTTTTTGTACCTGTCTTGACTTAATTAATATAGATTTTAAGATTTTTGCTTCATTATATTATACTTTTACTTAAATTGAACTGAACTCCTTCGCCGCGGATAAAGCCCGAAGGGCTATTGTGAGCGAAGCTTGTAATTAGTAAATAAGTATTTTTTCTGTATTTTGGTTAATAAACTAAAAAAAATCTTGATTGAGACCAAATTGTGCTGAACAGGGATACTCACAGACCAAATGATAATTCATGAAATTCTCAACATAACAGAATTATTCTAATAATGCTTAATAATAACATATTCTACATAATAAGTGCACTTAAATGTAATCTTATAAAATGTTTAATTAATTTTTATCATTAAAAATGTTATTGTGGCTTAAATATAAATCCTAGCTAACTAGGTGTGGCTGACTTTTTTGTAGATCTCCTAATAACTAATATTTTTGTAGTAATATTTACGTTTACTCAACTGATTGGGTAGCGCACGCAATTCGTTTCGACATACATGTGGTCGCTTCATTTCTCTCGCGCACGAGACATGTTTGCAAATTGACATACATATTATATTTTTATTTGCCAACCGATTTAAATGAAAGAAACACTAAATAATAGGGGTTAAAGTATGAAATTGCCGATTTGTACTGAAAA